GAACTTTTCAGGGAAATGGGCACTGACCGGGCCACTTAAAAACACTCGGTGGACCGCATGCGGGCCGCAGGTCGAGTACCACTGCTCTAGAGCATTATTTTTGTCAAAAATTCAGCGCATGAAAGAGTTTAAGGGCAAAGATCCACTTAAAATGGGTTTTACAGAAATCCACTTGGAGAGAGGTTTACGAGAGCGTAAAAGATAATTCTACATTTAAACTGGGCATTAAGTCGATCGCGATCGACCGGTGGACCACCAAGGCATTTTGGTGTTACCGCTTGAAGATTAGCAGTTAGTAATTTATGCGAAAATATTCAAGATTGGCTGATAGTATGCAGACTAAGTCTTCTACTGACTTTAATTACGTGAAGAAAAAGTTTCTAACCTATGTTTTGAATTGTTTGGTAATAACGACATCTCATTTGATATTATTTGTAGCTTGCGTTTTCCTTTTAACGTGGTTTTAAAAGCATAGGGGCGTAGCTACCGCCTTATCAATGATACGGAGCCCCAAGCGTTGGGAGCCCCAAAACGTGTTAGCAAAATAATCCCAAAATATTAAGCAGCTCTTAGCAAGCCCCTCCCCCCGAGGAATTTTGATACAGGGCCCACTCAGAACTAGCTACACCAGTGAAAAGCGTGATTTTTTTTATTGTAGTTATGTAGATAAGAGTACATATTCCTTATTTATTATTAAAATATAATAAATAATATTGAAGACTGCGTTTTCTTACCTCACCAAACCTACGCCCTTGGGTGGACGCAGCATCTTAAGAAAATTAGAAGTAGCCCGTACTCTGAAAAGGTCTACCCCCACCAGTTCTACATCATTGTCACATGATAAATGTTATCGTACGTTTCCAGTGACTCAGTTCACACGCTTCACTGTTGCCAACTTTAGCGATTTTCAGAAACTTTCTTTTAAAATGTACGTATTTGATAACGCGCATACGGAAAAAATGCGCGATTAAAAATCAAATCAGATTTGCAATTTTATCTAAATTTTACTAGGAGAATAACAAACACAAGTCTAATGTCAGTTTTGTATCGGCTCAAATCATGTGACGACATAGTCACATGATAATGATAACCACTTGTTTTTAGCCAATAAGTTCAAAAACTCATGTGACGTTTTAGTCACACGATAAAAGCAATAATGTGTTTCCGGATAATCAGTTTATGCACTTCGCTGTTACCAACTTTTAAGAAACTTTCTCTTAAAAAATACAAATTTGTCAACAATAATAATGCACATAAGTAGAACAAAATGCATTTTATTTAAAACTACATGTGAAAAATAAGATTTTTTTTTAATTTTAAAATATTTTGAAGAAATTTATTTTTTATTACATCTGAGCTTTTTTGTCCAATTATAAAATTTTAATCTAGTTTTACAAATAGAACTGTAACACTCGGTTTAATTCTAAGACCGAAATGTAGATGGCGGTACTTGCAACGGAAGTGTTACCGAACGAAACACTGTATTACCGTCAGAGAGAGTTTGGAATTGAATGAGTTAACGTTACCCGTTTCGCTGTCCAATCCTGGACTATGTAGCTTCCCTAATTTTCACTTATTTCCTCTAAATGTTTACCCTGTATTGTGTCTAAGTGTCTGTCCATTGTAACTGTGTTACTTTATGTCATTAAAATATTTTAATTACCCCGAGATCTCGTCCATTATTTTGGTTTACCCAGTAATGACGTAAGAAACCGTTACACAACTAATATAATTAGTTTGATATCTGCTTTAAATTCAATGGAGAACACGTGATTGCATTTATCATGTGACCCCATGAGTTTAATCCATCGTCCTTAGAACGGTTTCAAATAGGTTGCCGTAATTCATAAAACCTTTGGCATAGGATTAATCCATATAAGTGTCACGTTTTTTATTTTTATACTTAGAATTCTTTCTTCATACTGTGCTGTCTGCATATTAATATTTCGTGTAATTATTGAGACGAAATAGAGCATACAGTGTTTATTTAAATTCACAATGTTCCAAAGATTGAAATTTGAAATAAATATCAATAGTTTCACCATGTTCTGATACTTTAAGTAAAAAAATTTAAAATATTTGAAGTTTTAAAAAATATTTTTTTAAAGAATCATCCTTTTATATATATTTCCCCCAAATTAATTTCTTTCCTTTTTTTAAATTCTTTCTTCTTTTCGTTTGCAGTTAAGCTTCTAAGTACAGAATATTCGATTTTCTACGCTCTTTAAGAAAAGTACAGTGTAATTTTTTTAATTCGAGGAAAGCGGTTTAAATATCCTCTTTATGTGGGAAACTTAAAAACTTATGTACACGGAAAAAACATGCATTCACCAGTATTTTTTGAATAACTAAAGAGTAACCCTTATTTAAAATGCTCTTTTTTCCAAATGTTAAGTCTCCAATTCTTGGGCTTTTTTGTTTTATTGAAGCATGACATAAAATGTCAATATAGTCAGTACCCACGCATATACAAAGAAAATAATCCAATAATAAATCTTGTGTACATATAATATGAAGAAATACTGCGAACACACATAAAACAATAAAGGAATAGTTTTCTTTTGTTTTACTTTTAAGTGGTCAAATTACGAAGAGTGACACACACACAAAAAAAAAAAAAAAAAGAGACCGGTTTAAGAAATCACTGTACGTACAGAATCTGTGGCAGTATCACCTTCAATGTAGTTCCCTTTAACATTCACACACTTCTGCATTCGGTGCTGCCATTGTTGGTAACAGTTTTGGAACGAGGTTTTCGGAAGTCCCTTTAGTAGATTTTCCATTTCTGCTTGAACCTCTTCAACTGAAGTAAAATCTGTTCCCTTTAAGCAAGGTTTAACTGTAAGAAATAAAAAAAATATCTCATGGGGCCAAATCAGGTGAATAAAGAGAATGCCCCATCATAGTAATGTTTTTAAAGGTTAGAAACTACTTGGCAGATAGGGCCATGCGAGTGAATGCATTGTCTTGGTGCAAAAACCATCCATCACTCCACAATTCTGGCTCCTTTTTCTTAATTATTTCACGAAGTCTTTTTAGTATTTCAATGAAGTGGGGTCGATTAACAGCCTGGCACCTAATGTGAGTGGGAACCCCCTCATATCACGAATTTTGGCTATGCTTTGGTCTATAATCGCTGACCTTGAGCACCCAGTACGTTCATCATCTTTCACACTGACCCTTTCCCCTGTAAACCACTTATACCATTCAAACACATGTGCACGAGACCAAGTTTCATCTCCATATGCCTCGGTTAATATTTGAAATGTTTTAGTGGCTGATTTCTTCACAAGAAATTTGATTTTGATTCAACATTTTTCCGGCAGAATGCAGTTGCACGTGCTCACTCAATGACGCAGTACTCCCAACTGGTGTGATCAATTAAGACGAAACTGGATGGAGGAGGAGGTGCATAGAATGCCGTCACCAAAACAGTTCTTGCTTACTCCACTCTATTTTCAAGCTATACACTTAGTCTCGTTTTTTTTTTGTGTCACACATTGTATATCGTAGTTTATTGGTATGCAGGTAAGATAAACGCTTGAGTAGCTAGTTCTGAGTGCGCCCCGTAACAAAATTTCTTCGGGTCCCCCTTTAATATATGAGAGCCCTGTTAGTGGGACTGTAATTACACATGTTTAGGCCCCTGTAGCTTGGGGGCCCCGTATCATTGATACGGTGGTAGCTACGCCCCTGAAGATATATGAAGGCTGCGATAGCTAATCTAACTGGAGATTTACTGAATCGAAGTCGAGATTCCATTCACTTGTATACACTAAATTTGATCTAAATCTGTGTTCTATGGTATACAGACAAAGGGAAAAGTAAGATAAAAAGTTAACTAAAACGTTAAGCACTGCCACAAGGAGAATGAAGTTTAGGTACTTGAGGCTTTTTATGGAAAAAAGTGATTTTTGATTTTCGTTTAAGTGAAACAGGCATTTTAATCCTTTTTAACATATGATGCAATGACAGGTCACTTACTTAATAGTTACATGAAAAAATAGCTTCTTTAGTATTGAATGTTTTTTAAAAAAAACCTACTGTTGCGAAATTATAATGCATGATGAAGCGGAAGTTGGAAAAAGGGGTTGACAGTACTCACTCAACAATAATCGAATAACAATGAAATTTTTTCGTAGAAAAATAATTTTATTTTGAATCTAAAAATCATCTAAACAAAATTAAGTCTTTTTCTATTTATTTATTTTGAAAATTCAACCCCGTTGTGGCGCTATTAAAAATTTTGAAATTATTTTCCTACTAAACACCATACCCCGAAGAAAACCTTTTCTGTAAAATTAGGTTCTGATTAGTAATAATTTCCCCCTTCCATATAGCCGCGATCCCCCACCCCTTAGTATATACCACGCTAAAAAATTTCCCAGACTTCAGGAAAGTTTTAAAGAAAACCACAAACAGTACAAAACAAAGGAATATGCTGGAAGAACTTAGAAACAAACACACACAGGAAAAAACCCCACTCTTTTCGATGAGCCTCCTTCACTCGATTCGATTTGAGAGAGAGTACCCGTTCTTTTGCAAACAAATAATACATCTCCAATTCTACTGCGATGAAAGTGGAGAAAAGTTTCGCTAAAATATTATCTTAATTGTAACAAATTATATTATTTCAGAACACATTGCTATTTTTAGTACAGATATAGAACATGACTTAATAATGGACTTAGAAAAATTCTCTATGAACAAATAATATAAAAAAAAAAATTTTAAGTCAACTCCTACAAAGGTCAACAAAGAAACGTTTTATTTTAGTTACTTTTTATTAAATAAATACAATTAATATAAATATGTATGTACATATGATAGAATCACGCTATTAAGTGGCAAAATAGAAAGCGATTTTCCTTGTAATTTTCCATTTTATTTTCTATACAGGGTGTTTGACTACTGTTTTTGTTTGTTACTATTTATTAATTAATTTAATTATTTCAATAAAATAGTATGGTAAAGACAGAATCACGCTCCAGAAACTAAGCTATTCCAGGTGGGTTTCGAACCCACAACCTTTGGATAAGAAGTCCAACGCGCTATCCACAGCGCTGCAGGGACACTAAGAGCGGCTTTCTTTTTATAAAAGTGTTGGACTTTTTTTGTTTCTTTTTATTCATTGATTTAATTTAATTAATGAATTAATTCTTGAAAAAAACTTTATTAACATTGTGTCAACCACTACAAGTTTAAAAAAATGTATTTGAACTTGAGTGAATGAATAAAAAGTATTTTATAATGATTAGCAATTTGAACACGATATATATACAGGGAGAGTATGAACTAATAATAGAATTTAAATAAAATGTTATACAAACATAGTATCTCCATATTGTCCGATGAAAAAAAATGTATAATTCTCTATTGAAAAACAGAAAAAGTGGATGTTTTCCCTCGTGGAAAACAGAACAATGTATTCTCCTGGCATCAACAGGAAGTGGTCTGACTTTTCCGAATCAAGGCCTCTTAATCACGACTGATGACGGACAAGGGCGTGTCCTTCTTCCCGAACCTTTTTATGGAGATAAATGGCAACTTCAGGAGAGAAGACGATGATGGATTTAGATTTTAATCGAGTGTGTGCCAAAGGAAAGAATAAGAACCGTTCACACACATTAGAAAATAGATATTTTTAAAACCTCGATATATATGTTTCCACAAGCTTTTTTTTTATTGTATGGTGTCGAGTCATAGGAAGTTATATCAATTATTTCTCATTTGAACAATGCAATAATTAGTTTAAAAATAATATGTACGACTCGGAAGAGCTATTTGTCAATTTAAAAGTGAAAGAGTTGGTGATGTTAAATGAATATAAATAAGCCAAGTGAAGATTTTTTTTCTCACTCAGATAATAAAATTTTGTTGTTGTTGCTAATCCTTCAGGGTCTGACCAGGGACGTCTTATGGCATGGGCCAACTGGGCCCGGGCCCAGGGCCTCGCTCACGGTGGGGACCTCGTTTCGTTCTCGACTTTGTCTTAATCAGATCATAATCCGGATAATTTTAATGTTGTCAAATGTTATTCCGGTACATATTCTCCGAAAAACAAGACATTTCAAACTGCATGTCAACTGGCAAAAGTGGTAAGACTGTTTTATTATGTGATGACCGTTGTCCATGTCTGGGCCTGGGCCTAGTAAAATAAACAATCATTTAGTTGAAATGCGGCCATTAGTCGAGCCGGTTTGTGTCTAGATTTTTGAAATTGTGAGTCGTGCACATTTATTTGCTTCAAATTACCGTTCAAACGAGTATTTGACAATGCTTGCTATATACTGTCTACTTTTAAAGGTCTGGTATAGGGCCTACTTTAGCATAGGGTCCCAGGGCCTCACAAAAATCTAAGTTCAAGTCCTCAAAGAGTCTTAAGGCGTCTTTGGATCAGACAAGATCAATTGAATCGTTGACTCTCAAAACGTCCAGCACAAGAAGGGGTTCAGTGTAGGTATCCTTGCCTGTGAAAACCATGCAACGCATTATGTGTTCTGGAGAAAGCTGGTGATCTTGGCACCTTGCACAGATTGAGAACTTTTTGTTCGCTGAGAATGAGAGGGTAGTCTGGGAGCTTCTGTCTCTCTTGAGGGCTAGGGCCAGACCGGATCTATTACCCGCATACCAATGATGAGTGGGAGGCACCCTTCACATCACCAAATTTTGAGATTTTTTTAACGAGTATAATTCCAGATAGGTAAGAGCGGATGTGGAGGAAGTTGATGAATAAAATTTTAGTCTTTTTTAAAATGTTACAAAAATTGTTTTAGGTGAATTCAAAAAAACTTAATTATTTGATTTTTTTTTTAAAAAAAGTCATAATCACAGTTTGTTGACTAATGCAAAATATAAAGTGAACGATGTTACAATATGGAAATTTTTTTAAAAATGAAAGAGCTGGTGATGTTAAAATGAAAATGAATAAGTTAAGTGAAGATTTTTTTTTCTCACTCAGATGATTAATTACTTTATTTTAAATTGTACTTCAAGTACTTAAAATCTTGATTACAAAAGAAAAAGTAACACACACGTGCGCGTGCACAAAGTTCTTCATAATGGGGTTTACCCAATTCATGTGATTAGTGGTACGCTTCGGCGCCATATTTCGTAGACGGGTGTCCTTAGTGCCCGGTGATTGAAAGAAATGTCATTGGTTGAGCAGAGAATTGTGTGTTATCAAATATTGTGTTTTCTTCGAAAAGTGTGGTACGAAAACTTTCAAAATTTTGAAGCATATGCACAATAATAATACATTATCAAAATTGCAAACTTTTGAGTGGCATTAACGTAGTGGCGTACACATGTTTTGAATTCTGTGGGGGGGGGCTCAATTCCCAAAAATATGTTGGTCTCTGCATATAGAAAAAGATTTTTAATTTTTGCCCTAGATCAAGGGTGGCCAACCCAAATGACCTTGTGGACAAATTCGGAAAAACATTATGGTCTCGCGAGCAGCAAATAAAAATATGTTCCTTTATATCAGATTTAGAAACAAAAAAACTTTTATTGGAGTGAAAATTTGAAACAGAATGAATTATTATTATTGTTTCCATTATTTTTCATGTATACAGACATAGATAATATAATAATGTTTATATAATACAATAATGCAATGATCAAATAATGTTTAAAATATTAGTTGTGCCATTTTCTTGAAAATTATAGTGTTCCTTTTGAATTGATCTTTCGTTACTCAGTATTGAAATTTGATTGTGCTGTCATTCGCAAACGATTGATGGCCTTGACCATCCTGAATATTTTTTTAAAACTTTATAAAGCATCTCTGTGTGTGTGTGACTGCCTCTTGCTTTTTGGGCATTCCAAACAGAAAAGGAGAAACGAAAGTAGCACACACAAAGAATCATGTACCAGGAAAAGGATGTGCATAATGCAATTCGGAATTTATTAAAAAAGTAATTTATTATAGTAAAATCAAATGTAACTGTTTAATAAAATATAAATCTAATTTAATCTAAAAGACATTTCTATTATCAAAAATGATTTATTTTAAAACAAGTACAGGTAACATCAAATACATTGCAGAGATTTATGTATATATATAAGTTTCCCCTCAAATAAATTTCAAAATGAATAAAAACCTGATATTTAAAATTTTTTTAAAGAGTCGGTGGGCCACATGCCGCCGCGTCCCACGTTGTTGGACCGTGTTGGACACCCCTGCCCAAGATGTTACCTCTTGGTTCTTCCGTCTACGTGTTTTTAGAGTGTACCCCTACTTTATAAGAAAGGTCTATATATGCAACTGCATTAACGTTTCAGAGAGTCAACCATCCGGTATGGTGGCTAGTGAGACTGGCTGCGATGCCGTAGGGCCTGGGTTCGAATACTGGAGAAGGCATGGATGTTTGTAAATCTATTGTGCCTTCGCGGCATGGGGATACTCTAAATAG